GACACTATTAAAGCAATGACAATTTCAACTCCTCATTAAGTTAAAAGAATCTATCAAAAAAACTTTGCAGGCCACTCTGTCCCTGAAATAACTGAATGAAACCACAGGAATTATATTATCAGTTGAACTTAATCTTGTTATACTTCTTTCAGTCACTCAGAACATGGTTTTTACTTAACGTTGGTATTTCTGGGGTTATGACATGTCAGTTGCTGGTGTCAGAAAAAATGTATCTTAGAAAAGCAAACAGACACATCCTTCATTCTTTTCTGTTTCACATAGCTGTCCCTCTTCCTTCCTTCCATGCTTTCTCTATACATCAAACATTTCTTTTCTCAAATCTGTCATTTTGCAGGGTTCCCCACTGAGAGTATATGCTTTCAGCATGTGCTGGAAGTGAAATAAATGGGACAAACGGTGTGCTTAGAAGTAAGAATACACCTCACAGTATACAGAGCTATGACCATGAACTCTGTGAAAACTTACTGTTTTCTATGGCAATAGTATTTGATTCAATATGATCTATCTTGCCTTAAAAGAAATCAGAACCCCAGCTACAAGTTCCTCATACTTGTTCTAGATGACCCTATGGCTGTTTTTATACACCACTCATCTTGTGGCTTCTTCCTCTCATTTCTGCTAGCAAAGAAAACTCCACTGGGATAATTCTGTCTCCATATGTTTCCTCTGCTCAAGAGCCAGAGAAGGTTTATAGTTTGTTTGCTTTTGGAAAAAAAAAAAAAAAAAGAAAAAAAAACCACCTGCTTTAATTTTTTGTTTGAACATATACCATGATAGATTGCAAAAAGCTAACTGACCAAAATAGGAATTTTACATATTGATTTGCTGTAATTGGAAAGCTCCTAAATGTTATGTTTAGTAGAACACATAAAAAGATAAAAGGAATTGCTCTGCTTGGTGCCAAGTTGTTGGGTGGGCTAAATTCTTTCCATTTTCAAAACAAATCAATTTGCCACCTGTTCTCTCCTTTTCAAGTGTTATGAGGGAGGCAAAGCTCTTTTCCTTCTCCCCAGTTTTTCTCTAAAAACTGTTCGTATTTTATAGGTTGTTTAAATAAAATGTTTATTTTTCTTCTGAATGTTTCAGAAGGAACAAAATTCTCTATTTAGATGTGACTTTAAAGTATCACCTTTGTCAACTTGTATGATTTGCTATTTGTTTCTGTTTTCTCTTTCTTTTAGAATAAATGTTGATCAGAAAGTTGCATCTGCAGAATCTGAATGAACTGACAGAAGGAAATGCTGACATTTGAGCCAGCCTTCCCAAACTCTGTAACCACAAATGCAAAACCTTGTTTGTGGTGATGGGCTCATTGGTAGAGATGAGGAGAAGATACCGCATGTGTTTAATCAGTTCTAAGAATGGAACAGAATAGAACCCTAGAACCATTAAGGCTGGAGAAGATCACTAATATCATCTAGTCCAACCAACAGTCAATCTGCACCATGCCCCCTGACCACGTCCCTCAGTGCCACATTTACACAGCTCTAGAACACCTCCACAGACAGTGACTCCACCACATCCCTGTGCAGCCTGTTCCAAGGCCTCACCACTATTTCTGAAAAGAAATTCTTCCTAATACCAAACCTGAACTTCCCCTCGGGTGCAACCCAAGGACATTATCTCTCATCGTATTGTTGTTACCTGGGAGAAGAGGCCTACTTCCACCTCACTACTACCTCCTTTCAGCTTGTTGTTCTTGTACTGTGAAGTGAAACTTAAAAAATATGAGCGAAAGGAAGAACTGATCCATTCAAAGCACTCTTTGAAATGAAATAAAATGTTTGCGTGTACTTATAACATGGAGAGAAACAGCAAACATGGCTTCTTGAAGGACAAATAAAGTCAAACTAACCCAACTTCTTTCTATGATGATGGAACAGACCAGTAGATAGGCTACTCACCATGTACATCAATTTACAAAAGCTTTTGATACTGATGTGCCATTTTCATAGGAATCCATGTTTCACCTGAAGTATTCCCAAGAACTCACAGAACAGATGACAACTGATTAGGGTTAGTCCTGGCTCATGTGCAAACTGGAGGAATGGTTCAACATCCCTATCAGCAGTAAGGACGACCAGCCATAATTGATGGTCATTACACCTGCAGGCCCACCCAGATTTAAGTGATTAAATGGGAGGACTGAGCTGTATAATGATCCCATGAGAATCTCAAGTCAAGTGAGACACAGGTGTCAGCTTTGGAAGCGTACATTGGCAGGTCAGTGACAAGAGGGGAATGGGGTGGTTTACTCCAGGGAAGAAATGTGTCATAGTAGCCTCAAGAGGTCCACAGAATTATTAGTAAAGAGGCAAGGAATGGACCCTTTTCTGTATTCAAAGGAATGAGATGAAAATTTCAGCCCTGCAGATTTAAGTCGTTCACTGATTACATTCTCCAGAAGGACAGAAAGTCTCAGCTGCGAGGGTTTGAACAGGCAATGCCACTTCAGGATGGTACAGATGCAGTTGGAGCTGCCTTGGCTACAAGGATGGAGTGAATGACTTCTCATTACTCTTTTCTGTTGAATTTTTGTGAAATAATTTGTGGAAAACCTTGAATGAGGTTCAAAAGTGTCTTTAAGTGGATATATTAATATGAACACGAGTGATTCTACTCACTTCAGTTAAGTTATCCATGTCCAAAAACAGAGGCACCAGTAGAGTATTAGTGAATGTCAGTGGCAGGTGAAGAAATCACCACCTGCAGCTGTCCACAGAATCACACAGAATGGCCAGGGTTGGAAGGGACCTCAAGGATCATGAATCTCCAACCCCCCTGCCACATGCAGGGCCAACAACCTCCCCATTTAATACTAGACCAGGCTGCCCAGGGCCCCATCCAACCTGGCCTTGAACACGTCCAGGGACAGGGCATCCACAACCTCTCTGGGCAGCCTGTTCCAATACCTCACCACTCTCTCTGTGAAGAACTTCCTCCTGACATCCAACCTAAATCTTCCCTCTTTCAACTTAAAACCATTTTCCCTTGTCCTGCTGTTATCTACCTTTTAAAGAGTTGATTCCCCTCCTGTTTGTAGGCTCCCTTTAGGTACTGAAAGGCTGCAATGAGGTCACCCCGCAGCCTTCATTTCTCCAGGCTGAACAAGCCCAGCTCCCTCAGCCTGTCTTCACAGGGGAGGTGTTCCAGCCCTCTGATCATCTTTGTGGCTCTCCTCCGGACCCTCTCCAACAACTCTCTATCTTTCTTGTACTGGGGGCTTTAGACCTGGATGCAGTTTTTCAGATGGGGCCTCTCAAGAGCAGAGTAGAGATGGACAATCACCTCCCTGTCCCTGCTGGCCACCCCAGGATACCATTTGCCTTCCAAGCCACAAGGGCACACTGCTGGCTCATATTAAGTTTTTCATCCATCAAGACCCCCAGGTCCTTCTCCACAGGGCTGCTCTCAAGGACCGCTCCTTCCAGTCTGTATGGATGCCTGGGATTCCTCTGGCCCAAGTGCAAAACTCTGCACTTTGCACTTTGTGTTGAACCTCATCAGGTTCACCTGGGCCCACCTTTCTAGCCTCTCGAGGTCCCTCTGAATGGCATCCCTTCCTTCTATCATGTCAACCGCACCACTCAGCTTGGTGTCGTCAGCAAACTTGCTGAGGGTACACTCGATTCCATCATCGATGTCATTGATAAAGATGTTAAAGAGCACCGGTCCCAAGACAGGCCCCTCGGGGACGCCACTCATTTCCGGCCTCCACCTGGACACAGAGCCATTGATGACCACCCTCTGTCTGTGGCCTTTCAACCAGTTTCTTATCCATTGAGTGGTCCACTGTCACCATGACATCCACCCATCAAATCCACATCCCTCCAGTTTGGAGATAAGGATGTGGTGGGGGACCGTGTCAAAAGCCTTGCTCAAATCCAGGTAAATGACATCAGTTGCCTTCCCCTTGTCCACCGATGCCATCACTCCATCATAGAAGGCCACCAGATTGGTCAAGCATGACCTTCCTCTGGTGAGCCATGCTGGCTGTCTTGGATCATACACTCATTCCTCATGTGATCAAGCATGTCATCCAGGATGATCTGTTCCATGATCTTTCCAGACACAGAGGTGAGACTCACTGGCCTGTAGTTCCTGGGGTCCTCCTTGCTCCCTTTCTTGTAAATGGGAGTGACGTGACCCTTCCTCCAGTCATCTGGGACCTCACCTGACAGCCACGACTTCTCAAATATGATGAAGAGTGGCTCAGCAACCACCTCAGCCAGCTCCTTCAGAACCCTGGGATGCATGCCATCCAGGTCCACACTTTAATGTGTTATTTATCTGCTGATTTTCAGGGAGTCAAAGGGGTGGGATTACAGGGTCACAGAACCGCAGCACAGCTGAGGCTGGCAGGGCCCTCTGGGTCCCTCTGCTCCAGCCACTGCCCCAGCAGGGACACCCAGAGCAGGGTGCCCAGGGCCACGTCCAGGCAGCTATGGGAGATCCCCAAGGAGGAGACCCCACAGCCTCTGGGCAGCCTGTGCCAGTGCTCTGTCACTGCACAGCACAGAAGGGCTCCTGGTGTTCAGAGGGAACCTCCCGTGCTCCAGTTTGTGCCCATGGCTTCTGGTCCTGGCACCGGGCACCACTGACAGAGCCTGGCTGCAGCCTCTTGGCGCCTTCCCTTCAGACAATTATGGGCACTGATGAGACCCCCCTGAACCTCCTCTTCTCCGGCCAATCGGCCCTAGCTCTCTCAGTCCTTCCTCATAGCAGAAGTACTCCTGGTAGTTGCCATTTTGGTGTCCCTCTCTTGGACACTCTTCAGTATGTCCATGTATTTCTTGTACTGAGGGGCCCAGAACTCCAAGTGCATCCTCACCAGTGTTGACTAGAGGGGAAGGATTGTCTCTCTTGAATCACAGAATCATCAAATCACCAAAGTTGAAAAAGACCTTCAAGATCATCCAGTCCAACCATCCACCTACCACCAATATTTCCCCACTAAACCATGTCCCTCTGTACGACATCTAAATGTTTTCTGAACACCTCCTGGGAAGGTGACTCCACCACCTCTTTGGGCAGCCCATTTTAGCATCAAACCACACCTCTGAAGAAGCAATTTTTCCTATGTCCACTCTGAATCTTCCTGGCACAACTTGAGGCCATAAACATGCAACCTGCTGTTAATACTTTTCCTAATGTCCTGACAATACTGAATGAGAAACACATCAATCTCCTGCTAGATATCTCTGAATAAAGTCAATAGAACAACAAAGAAAGTAGGAGATGCTAACATCTGAGAAAAAATACTGAGCAGGGGAAATAAAACAAGAAGAAGGCAATGAAGTGGCAGGTGGATTGTCCCTCCATACCTCTGCTGGTCCTTCACTAAATCGTTTTTCTGAAGGCAGGGCTTTCTTCTCACTGCAATTTCTTGCTTCCTGCAGCCCTTCCCTAAGGCAACAGACACATTCCTGCCAGCTGCATTAATAACTTCCACCTTGTGACACCGAAAACACTGGGGAACTGTTTAAAAGCGTCCTGTCTTGTACAGATACATACAGAAGCAGCAATTACAGTAACAAGAGGAATAATAATGACAAGAAAAAGCACAAGGTGGAAAAAGTCTGTGAAGAAAGTGTGGGCGAAAGCATTTTTTCAGGTTCCTTGCACGAAATATTCCCAAGCAACAGACACTGTGAAGTGGGAGAAATCCACAACTTCTACAACATTTTGTCTGAACGCCCTCGCAAAGACAAAGGAGTGGGCTTCAAGACAGGTATCAGGATTTTGCCAATAATAAAACATACCTTTAGTTTTAAATGTGTTCCTTAACCCATTGTGTTACTTTGGCTCTATCTGAAGGGTTGAAAACTAAGTGCTTTTTTCTCTGCTTGTAATCCATTTCCTGTGGGTTGTTACCACCTATCTGTCTGGCAGGAACTACCCAGTTACCACGTTGATCAAGCCTTACCTTTGGATGTCATCCAAAATTACTTAACAGAAAATAATCCAACTGGCATATCTACTATGAGGAGAATGAGCAACATTTCCTTGAAGAATTTACTCAAAGTAGGCGTGTGTATTATGTGCCAAGAAAAGAAGGAAATTTGATGCTAGCATCAGTTGATGAACATTAGCATGTATTCTTTATATGGTACATGCTGAAGGCAATGCTAGGAAAAAAAAAAATGAAAAAAATCATTGTTTTAAGGTCTTCCTGCCTCAATTTAGGGAAAGAAAATGGCAAGTTCCCCAATGGAAAGGCTTTTTTGTTGTTGTTTTGTTTGTTTGTTTGTTTGTTTGTTTTCCATGAAGAATGGAAATACTTCAAGAGATGGGGGTTTTCTTGTGAATGTCTAAACAAAACATTTGCATTGAATTCAAAATCTGTATGTTTCAGCGTGTCCAACACAGCCAAAATATTTTGCTTAGAGAAGGCAGGCATGCGTTACTATTTTCAATGCGTTTCATGTAAAAAAAAAAAAAAAAGTCAATAATGAAGCGTTCACTCTGTTGATCCAGTTCTCACTGAGTCATTAAGGGCAGGGAACAGAAGAGACAGAAGGATATGAGACATCTTTGAACGCAGCGTATACAGCGGACTACTGAGAAATTCTAACCCAAACGTCTAGACTAAGTGGAAAAACTTGAAGGAAAAGAAAATAAAAACAACAC